TGTGGGTGTGTGTCTCTGTGTGTGTGTCGCTGTGTGTGTGTGTATGTCTGTGTGTGTGTCTGTGTGTGTGTGTCTCATTGTGTGTGTGTGTGTGTCTGTCTGTGTGTTGGTGTGTGTTTGTGTGTGTGTGTTTGTGTGTGTGTGTGTGTGTGTGTTTGTCGGTGTGTTTGTGTTTGTGTGTGTGTGTGTGTGTGTGTGTCTGTGTGTGTGTGTGTGTTTGTGTGTGTGTGTGTGTGTGTCTGTGTGTGCGCGTGCATGTGCGTTTGCGCGTGCGTGTCTGTATGTGGGTGTGCTTGTGCGTGTGTGTATGCATGCGCACGTGCGTGCCTGTTTGTGATCCCAAGTTGGGACGAGCTGAATTTCGCGTATAACCGCCGCGGGAATCGTGACACTTCCCGCCGCCACTCGAGGTCCAGTTCTTGTGCAAAACTGCGCCCGACGTGGAATCGAAGGTCATGCAGCTTGCCCCCGATCAGCTTGCCTTATGGGACCTGCGATAGGGGTAGTTGGCCGAAAGACTCTGGTTCGAAGCTTCTTCAGTAGGCTAAGTTTTAAGTGGCTCCAATCGCAGCAGCACGAATTCTTCTCACAGTCTTGAGGCTACAGCATGAGCTTATCAGTTCTGGCCGCCCAGGGCGTCAGCCCATGCTAAAGCATCCGCGGTGCGGTAGTAGTGATTTAGCTACATTCTGGACGCCTTGCTCTGCCGTTGGCTTGGCGAGGGCTCGGCTATACTTGGGCTTTTCGCAAGTCGTCCCACCAAACGCTCAAGCACACAGTCTCGCTATGCACGCGCCAAACCTCAAGTTCGCGAAGAAGTTGGATCTACCTGGTTCAGGGTTGTTTATGCAAGTTGCTTCTTTTGGAGGGAGGAGTTGCTGCGTACAGGTGTCGCGGACTTAAATCCAGATAGAAAGTCGGAGGAAGGTCATCTGATATCTACATCCCCAGGAATGCCATGCTGCCCTGTACTCCGGAAGATGGAGGCTGGAACCGATGCAGTATTCGGGAGAGACAGACGAAAGCCAGCAGCTAGAAGTTGGAAACACCTGGTCTAAGCCTCAGCTTTTCAGTTTGAGTCGGCTGTTTGACCGTCAGGGCTTCCGAGGTTTTGGCTTGCCAAACGGCCACTCGCAGCATGCTGACGGCTTTGTACATCATTTCAGTCCCCCTTTACTCTTAGAAGCAGGAAGCGGCCTACCATGCACTTGCTGAACATGCTCCGACATGCGCTCGAATTCACTGAATGCTCAGTACGTGAGAGTCACATCATGCTGCCATGCAGAAGACCAGCATACCAGTACCATACCTATAGCGGTGCTCACCGGAGTCTTCACAGGAGTTTAGCCAGAAACAGCTATAGCGGAGTTGAGGACGCGTTTCACAGCTTTCGTGCAGCTGCGCACCTGAAGCCAGGCTCTCGATACCTGCTCCTCCAGAGCCTCAAAAATCTGCGCTTCACTTGCTGTTAATGCAAGCTTTCAAGTCTCCATGCGGTATCCCGGAACTAGGTTTTTTCCTGAGGCTTGCGGGCACAACCCTATTCCAGTTGCAAGACAGGAGCATCACCAACAGGTCATTGCATCGACCGAGAGTAAGAGATGTAAGAGGGTATTCAGGGTATTCGGCTCAGAACTCCTCAGGATTCAGGATATCCCAGACCTTGCATCGATTCGGATGTTTTCATCTTTCGATCTTTCGGGAACGATGTCGTCAAACCGGATTCCACACCAGCCGCCCGCCCATGGGCTCCAGCCTCGCTGCCGAAAAGATTGTTGAAAGCTATGAAAGAGGGGAATCCAAGAGTTGACGACAATGATGGATCTGCTGGCTGTTGCCATTCTGTTCGTTATTATTCCGTGTCTTTTTCTTTTGGCATGTGTTGCCGATTAGCTAGGATGTATTCTACACGTGGCTACTGGTTTCAGGGCTGCTGATTCTCGAGATTATCCTCAGGATCAGCCGTGCAGCTTCGGACCGGGGCGGAGGATCGCAAGCCTTCCCATGCTGCGGGTCTTTTGGGCTAATTACCATAGAAGTATGAGCTCGCACGGGAAGACCAATCAAGGCAGCATTTCGTGGCCTGCTACGATGCCATGGAATCCTTTCTGCCACTGGGATAGTACCGAAGTGGCTTTTCATGATGCACAGATTTGATGGGGGGGTTTGTTACAACACCTCGCATTTGGACTCGTGCGTTTGGACTCGTGATGACTCGTGTGTTCTGTCTGCTAGTCTGAGGGCATTTGGTGTGAGGTTCAAGTTTGCAGCTCACATTCCGATGAGACTTCAGGACTGCGAGATGAGATGAGAGGAATGTAGGAATTTTGATGCTACCCCGATTGCAACATGGTGGGATTGAGAACGACTAGTTTCTTGACGATTGGTGGTGCTACGTTGAAGGAGACTTCGTCATGGGATGCTCGGAGTCCGCTTGTTGTTGCGATCTCTCACTCGCGCAGAGATCACACACAATGTCGCCGGCAACCGCTGCATAACGGTGTTTTCGGCTACTTACCTTCCGCTTTGGAAAAATGCATACATATGCATACTATATAGAGTCAGAACTCTGCAATCTCTGTTGCCTGGAGCTTTCCTAACACGATCGTTGCCAGCTTGAGGAAGGCGGAAAAATGCCAAGATTGGGAAGTATATGTCGGTGTAACCTGGGGGCCTATAATGGGCGTTTACGTCCTTAGATTGATTCAGTGCTCCCTCCGTCCATCCGAGGCTTTTCAACGCTCAGAATCCCACGGGGCCTCCTGCCAGCAAATGAAGTCACGAGGAGAAGCGGGAAGGTTCAAGAACTGTGCAAGGTGTTGCTGTCCTTGGATACTCTTGAACCCTGAGTACTGTAGGGCGACGTCAGCAGGACAAAGCATGAATTACAAATCAGGATGGAAACGGTGTGCATTCTACTACTGTGGGCCACGAGCCGTCAAGGAACCGACCGTAGGTTTAGACACCTCGAGAGACAATTGGAGAAAACGGTGTATTAAGCACTTGTCAGGTGTGGTATAGAGCCTCTGGGTTCCGGCCTCTGACAACTACATGCCTCACTGCAGATGTCTTCGGTGCTTAGGCCATACACAGGGTACGTACCCAACCTGCAATTACATGCAGAGCTGTCCAAGAAGGGGTCTACCTGGAACTCCTAGCCCTGACCTCTAAAATCCGCAGCCTGGTGCAGGCACTACAACTTAAAGCTGCACATCACGTCAGAGTTTGCCGTTGCGCAACGCATCTTGAAATGCAAAGCCAGGGAGGTGGCGATTGTAGTGCTGCGGGTTGGCATAGACGAGTGCGGGACAGTGGCAGGCCTCATCAGCCATAGCGGGCCCCCGAATCCGAGGCTGTTTCAAGCTTAAGACTTGCACCCCCGCTAAATCAGTTGCAAACATCAGACCCGAGAGCCTAAACTTATGAATCCTTCAGTAGACCTGAGCTTCAGGTCTGTTGCTCCTGGACCGCTGGGAATGTGCCACGTCCTCGGCCGCACGCAACCTCTAAATCTGCATGAGCCTTCGTTTAGTCAAAGTGTACCCAGTCAGACTAGCAGCAGAAGTAACTATTGAAGAGGCGTAGATAGGGATGGTCGTGATCTGTTGTGATTGCGTTGTTAGTCGTTGTGGTCTGCGATCTTTGCTCCACGTTTAAGGGTGCAGCAGGGCATTTGAAAGCTTATAGAGTGCGTGGTCCACGAAGTTACATACATGCATCCATGCATGCCTACCTACGTACGCACGTATGTATACGTACATACGTGCGTACATATCCATCTGCTGCATACATACATACATACATACATGCACACAGAATTCGTAGTTGTGTGCGAGCCTCACTGAAATGCAAGCCTGTCATATGATTGGGGAGGTCGTCAACAAACGCCACGGCCGCTGTGATGTCTCTTCTCGGGCGCTGCGTGGTCGCATATGCTGCATCGGCGTCAATGTCGGCGCACACTAGGACGACTGCGAATTCGTGGTTCGTGAATCATGATGTTGCTCTGTCATAGTATGTAAACCATGTTGATGATGACGATGGTGGTGGTGCTGATAGGGGTATCTGATCATGATGATGATTGATGCTGTCCGTTCCACAGAATACCTGTCGTACCAAGGGTTGTTTTCAGAATTGACAGTCAGCGACAGCGATTTGCTTACTCTAGCTCAAACTAAGTCCGGTGTGAACTCCCAAAGGTTGCTCATGCACCCTGCTCAGGAACCGGTCGCATGTCCGGAATGAGCTCCACGGAGGCAAGCAACTGTCGCTCACGACGGGCTCTGTCGCAGAGTGGAGCTTGCCAGAGGCCGCGACAGAATTGGGTTTAGGCTTGGATTTCACCTTTCGAAGCGTTCTTGGTTAGGGATGGAAGTAGAGTCGTGGGACGGTTGTAGTTCAGATGTTCGCACCAACCCACACCGGTTCTCATAACATGATTCGGCCATGTTCTGAGGTGAGAACTGTCCACCTGCGAACCCTCATGAGCCTGGGTGCAGGTCACGGCCGTGTCCGTAGCATGCAGGGCTGGCATTGTCCGCACATGTACTCAACGTCACTTAACAGAGATAACTGTCGGTCTGCGAGTCTGCATATGTATATGTATGTCTATAGAGACATATGTATATATAATATATACAAGTATATATTTATATGTACACATACATATACACGCATGCACAGGAATTGGACGCAAGTTTAGTTTGGAATTGCGCCATTGGATCAACTGTTGCTGCTCGGAGTATGTCCCGTGTTGAGCGGCGATTCGTGGCCGGTCCTCGATTGTGGGACATGGTGCTGTTACGGAAGCGTAAGCAGCGTTAATTACAAAGTTTGTGATACAAGTAGAGGCCGAAACGAAGGAATTCGGCAGTCTGTAACACAATGGTGAGAATGCTGAAGCTGGCGAATCTGTTTCGTCGCCAATTCTTCGTCTTGACCCAACTTTCAACTTTGCGACTTGAGTTTGCGGTTCTGGTATATACAAGGAAGCCAGACAAAACAGAAGCAGGCAGACGCCTTTGAGCTCGACTATGTCACCAGCGCGAGACCGCCCGTGGAGGCACTCTGGAGTCTGCAGCTGCGTAGTTCTTCTGGTACAATTCGTCCGGCGTTTACAGGTCCCGGTGCATGTGCCACTTTGCATGACGGTGCATGTGAACCTCGGCGAAAGTATGACCCAGAAGCCTTCGAAGTGTGACCTTCCGAAAGCTTGCAGGCGCAAGCACTAACTGATGGCTTGTGGAAGCAGCTCATGGCTTCGACCTCAGCTGTTTGCTGTCGAGGCATACTTCGGTTTGGGGTTTTGGGCGAAAGAGAGACTCTCGGGTGCAGCTAGGACCCTGTTCGTACCGTGTTGCGGTACATTGTCAGACAGCAACCTTTGCTCTGCAAAGTGGCAGTTGGTCGGATTGTGTACTGCTCTTGGCTCCTCTTGGCTCATTGCTATGTGGTCTTGGACCTGAAACCCGAAGCAGCCTGCAGTTCTTGAATAAGGCCTCCTACTGATCTCCTTCTGCCACGAGCGGCCAATATCCATCCCACGAAAACGGCTCTAAGCTTGAAGGTCTCCATGTACAAGTCCGAGTGCAGTGCCGAGGAGACGTCAAACATGGGTCATAATTGCACCAGTGTCATTTTGGAGGTTCTGATGAGGAACTCCTTTTGGATCCCCAGTCGTGACGTCTCCATCCCGGCGTTTCTGCTTCAGAGAACTGCAAGGCTTCCTCTGGATCGGGGGAAGTCCGGTAAGGCTCTGAACCACATAGTCGCATGGCTTCTCGCACACCTCGGTCTGGAAATGCATACTTGGGACGTGGTGTGCAAACCGTATGTGGAAAGCTTTTTCTGAGGTCTGCCGGGATCCGCAAGCTTGCCAGCACTCGTGAACCCCTGCAGGACAAGATGAAGGTTCTGCGGTCCATTTCCCACAACATCTTTATCACCGTGGCCCGGAGGAAACATGATTTCAGCGCCGGCGGTACAGCGTTCGCAATCAGTTGCATTGTTCCAGCGGGGTCATAAAGTTATGTTCATAATTACATCATTCTACGGGCATGCACATCTTTCTCCCTAACCTGGGTTAGGAGTTGTCTGCATACAACAGTTGAGCACTTTCCATACCTATTGCCACAATTCTCAATTTGATGTCAGGATGGCTTCTGTTGGTACGAAGGGTTCCTGAAACTTCATCCCTGATTCGACAAATTTCACCCTCAAAACGGGCTTGCAGCAAACAGAATATGAATCATACTCTTCGCATGTTGGATTGATCTGTTGTCCAGCGGAGTATACTATAATGCCCGATATCTATCAAGCATACTGTTGCATGTCCAGCGGCACAGAGTGCAATCGGCATTTGCGAATTGAGCTCGTTCAGCGCGATTCCTCGCTGATGCGGAGGATTCGAGACATGTTGAGAAGCTCTCTTGCAATCTGCAGCTTGTGTTGGTTCTCTCGGGCATGTTGCGTCCCGAAACTGCTCGAGCTCTGTTTGGCTCTTTGACCTGTCTGACTACATGCCAAGCCAGCGGATCCCGAGACCCATCCACAAAAATCATAAGAAGCGGAAATACAAAGCCTTTTCGCGCCTGGCCGCCAAGTCGAAGCACATGCGGGAGATGATGGGTTACTTCGATAGGTCGGAGCTGCGCCAGGAGGCCTTCGTCATGTTCTTCAGCAGTGGCCCGGAAAGCATTTCAGTGCCCGAGGAGCATTACCAGATTCACGCTCGCATGCAAGAGTAGCAACTATCACAACAGCCTGGAGTGCGGGAGTTCGGTTAGCATGATTAGCGCCCGGTCGACAGAGTCGCCGTTAAGAGTTCAGCTGTGAGGAATAACCGACATGCACAACCTGAAGTTGTGCAGCGTGCGCTTTGGTGAGGTGGGAGAGACTGCTAGAGTTGTCTCGTCGGTCAACAACGGGTGTATCCCGAATGTAATTGCCTACGGGACCCCTTGGCATCATCGGGGTTCCACCAGCCCTGACATGTTCTGCTAGAAACCCCAATATACATGGTTGAGGCCCTCCAAGGCCCGCTTGACAGAACAGCACACCGGAACTGGGGCTTGCAAATTTCGTGAAGTGCAAACCCGCCATGTGGACAGGATGAGGAGGTCTACAACTTGCGCTACCGCCTTGGGCAGGACGGACGGGGATCTGGGATGCAGGCTTCAGATTCACGGCTGGTCAATCAGAGTCGTCCGTTTGGGACATGCGGTTGAAGATTGTGGCTTCAGTTCGGTTTTCGCCGGAGGGAAAAGGGCCCAAGCACTTGAGATCTGCACCGGCCGAAGTGGTAGTTTGGTCTAGCAGGCTGTGAGAAGCTGCATCGGGCAGGGAGGCGAATTTGCTTTTCAAGGCTCTGTCCATGATCACCCAGTGGAATACTGCATTTGCACACTTGACGAGGCACACCAAGCTCGCTCGCAAGAAGATACCTGTAGGTTTCCGACTGGGTAATGCCATCTGTTTTCTTGCTTAAACTTGGAATAGCTGGGTTCTCTGAGTCCGTATCGTTCGTGAAGTTGCCCTCGTTTCAGATCTAGGAGTCTCCGCCCCTTGCCGCAGGCAGTCTTCTTCCCTTACTTCCAGCCGGAGAACGCCAAGTTTGAGCTTGACTCCGTGCGGAAGCGAGTAAGGCTTACAGTTCACCCCTAATGTCGGACTCCATGCCAGCATAAGTCACAGGCCCACGGGACCATGCACTTCGATGCGTTGTTACGGCAGCAGTGGTACATCATGGTTGTTGTTGTCCGGAACTGCGGTGATACTCAGCAAGATGGACATGAATTCGGTTCCACAACTCATGCTGACAGACGGAATGCGATGGCTTTCAATTGTAGGCCTGAGCGGCCGCATGTTCTCACGACCTGGATCTTTAGCTGGCTGCAAGTTCTCGAGCTGTGTAAGCGAGCCATGTTGGAGGTTGCACTTCGGATATCTAGTTACCATTGCTTCACATGTGCAATGCAGAAAAACTGGTTGCGGCACTGCCTAGGATCTGAGCTTCCATGACCACCGATTGTGTCTTGGCCTTTCTCGCAAGGGGTGACGCAAATAGCCGCAAACTTGGTGCTCAGCTAAAGGCTCGGAAGGGCTCGGAAGGGAACTTCAGGGTCGCGCCCACAGGAGTCTTCAGCGGCCCAAAGGCTTTCTTTCAGAAGTGAGCATCTGAGAATCCGACCGAAGCCCGAAGCGTTGACAAAACCCATCCGCCAGGTGCGTGAACATGCTGGTTGGACTCGCAGCAAGAGAGAAGTTTGGCAACATCAGGCGCCAAGAAACTGCCTGCTGTCTATACTTCTCAGGATGTACATCACTGACTACCAAGCTTGAGGGCTTGCGTGGATTTGAACTGCTTGCTCATCTGCGTGAAGAAGCCGTCAACACTAGGTGCAAAATCAACCCATGCTTCATGACATGCTTCGCAGGAAGTTCAGTGCAAAGCCGTCAGTCTGCCACGGACTGATTTGTGGGGACTAGCGAAGATGTGACCCGTTCCGTTCCTGTTCCAGGGATGCCGTCTGGATAAAGCCGGATGGGAGCCAAGACGATTTCCCGATGGGCCGCACGGTTATGTACGGTTGTGGGTTGTGCTTCCATCAAGCTGATTCGAGCAGTCAGTAGCATAATGCGAAGTTCAACGACCTTATGGAATCCTGCACCCCCCCACCTAAAAAATTCCCAGAAGGGCTTCAAGTCGCGCGGCAGGTGTAATCAGAGCAAAGCGATGCATTAGGTTCATGATTAGAGCTAGGCAGTACAGCTCATAGCTACTATACATGTATATATAGAAATAAAGATATGTCGATGTAGAATTAGTTGGTTGGTGTTTGTTTCGTCTGTTCTGGTATAACAGGACAGCATGCTAGTGAATGTATGCATGTGTATGTATGTGTGTATATGTTCGGAACTTGTCGTTCGCTTGTGTGCTTGGTTAGATATGCTCCTTAGACGCTTCTCGACATGTTAACATATAAGCGTCAGCTTGTATGGTATATAGGTTTGCAGAGAAAGACTGTTGAAATCTGTATACACATGTACGCATATATGTACATATATATATATATATATGTACATACATATACATGTACATATACATATACATATACATATACATACACGCATATATCGCCCAAGCACACGCATACACATTCATCGGCACAGGCAAGTGCAGTGGCTTGTTTTTGGAGTTTGGAAATCCTCAACCACTGCGACAGTTCTGTTGAGGATGGCTGTAAGCGAAATTCTTGACTGCGTTGTCAGGTTCCTCCGCTGGAATGAATCTGCATGTTCTGTTCCCTTTTCTGGCGAAACTTGAACCCCGAGCATCCCCGAGCACTCTTCTCCGACGAAACGGATACGGACTCCTCACATGCAGATTCTTGTGGTTAGCAAACATCAGCACCGAAGCCCTGAACGATAGAAGTTGCAAACCGTCTGAACATGTTCTTCAGGCATTCCGCGCAGCTGGGAAGGGTTATCTCCCACTGAAGGCCCGCAGTAGGGTGCGATTTTGATTTGGGGGTTTCTCTGTTCGTGTGAATTGTTCTTAATGTGTGCATGGATGGATGGCTGGATCCATTTGGACGGATCGGTATGTCAACACAAAGTGTCGCTTGTTAGCGTGCATATTATACAAATCACAAGTTCACGGCAAGGTGTTATCGTAAGCGCAGCACAAGGGTCAGAATATCAGATGACATGTAGTGTTTGGTATCTGATGTCCGCTCGTGTGTCTACTCTGCACGAGCCAGAACAGATTCAACCGATTTCCGCGTGTGCGGCGGGTGCCCTAGAACTAGCACCCTCAACCTTGAAGCTTTTGGGCTGCAGCCACGGCTTCATGATTCAGCATTGGTGATATTCACGAACGAGGCTGAATGGTGTGAAGCACCTCAAACTTGAGAGGCCGCTTCCATTGTCGCTACGACGCTCGCCCAAAGTCTGCCAGAAGGTGGTGGATTTGCTTTTGTGGCTACGGCTGTTCAGGAGGATAGTGTCAGGCTTGCTGACAATGGGGCTTCCCTTCGAGGTATCCAATAGGGCTGTTCACTTCCAAAGCACGCACGGACCAGCTAGTGCTAAATGACCTTCTGCCTTATGGAAGACGTCCGCGAATGTCTATATTGACATTGCAATCCGCGGGCATCCCAGAAAGGCAGTCTTCCAACTCTGTGTGAAGACCATCCTGCGGTAGCCTGAAGGGTCTCAAAAGAAGTCCCAAAGAAGGGCACGTGTCCTTCCTCCGACCAGTTCATGTTTCCCAGACCGTCTCTCCACTAAGCCCGATCCTCCGCGACCTTTGTGCCCAGGTGTGTTCGGCGGACGATCGGAACTTCCATTACCGGAAAAGCCTCGCGGCCAAGTTCGGATACAACCCCAGGGATGTCCGCGAGTCAGCACCCTGCTTGCATTGGCTTGCAGGATTGTGCTCCTGGCTTCAGGGAAGTGCGGCAAGCCTCACAATTAACGCAATCGCTACATCTTACACGCACTAGTATACAGAGGCAGAAATAGAGGCAGCAACACAGACTAACACAGATACAGGCACGGATGATGCAGGATATAGGCATTGTTGTTATCAGGTGTGAATGCAGTAGTACAGGAGAGATACAGAGCATCTCAACACACTTCGCCTGCCTGCTTGCGTTTATGATACAGGCATGTATGCACGTACGTAGGTAGGTATCTATGTATGTTTACTACCTACATGCGTAAATGTACAAATTCTGCACGTAGACATGTGTGGAAGGCGAACCTGGAGTGGTTTGAACCAGGGTTCGCATGGGGGTCTCGGCCGGGCAACTGCCTATTGTCACGGAAGCTGCGCACTGCAGCAATCACTGACAGACAACGCGCAGAACCAGTTCCTAGGCAAGCGCGCATGCTGCGGTCTGAATTAGACCCGTAATCCTATGAAGGCAGCGAAGAGCGCATGGTATGTCTGCTCACATGCCGCACATGTTGCAAGACTTGCAAGCCGGAGGAACTGCTGATAACTGCCGACCATCCTGCTGTCACACACACACACACACACAAGTCTATCACTCCGATGGTGACATTGACGTTCACGAACTTGTTTGAAATATAACTGAAAATCTATTGACATTTATGGTGAGCTTGCCCCGTGCATATGCGTTCTTGCATATGTACTTGCACGAAGTAAGTAGATAAGGAGTTATGTATGTATGTGTATATATATATATATATATATACACGCATACATACATACATACGCACACACACACACACACGTTCACATGCCGGTATGTGTGCATGCAGGCGTGCATATGCATCATGACATGTCTATGCATTGTGAACGCTGTTTTGAGAGCAAGCTTCCGAATACAGACGGCGTCAACGCGCAGCATTCATTTGCATCCGCATCTCTGTATATGAAAACAGAGCTATTTTGTCGTCCATGGGGTTTCGCGTTCTGCAGACACTGTTTCGGGATGCCCGGAGGAGATGAACTGGCTGACAGGGCTTAACGAGCCACCAGAGGCCCGGCCGATTCGAGACATGTTGCCTGCGTGTCATGTGATGGTATGCAATGCTCCGGAAGGTCGGGTCAATCAAGTTCTTGTATGTAAGAGCTTGACAGAAAAGCGGTTCCAGCTTTGCGGCGCTTCTTGACGCCTTGTCTGGTCGCATCAGGGTGAACCCAGGCTCACGGCTTTCCCTGCAGCCTTGCGGCTTGCAGCTTTTCTATGTTCGGCTGGCGTTTCCGAGTGCCCCGGAAGGACGTATTGGATCTCCTCGAGTTCTTGATCAGCCGGGACAGGGCCTCATCTCTCTGACTCAGCAACACTCTGCCCGCTTCGGGCGTGGATGTGAGAATATGCTTCTACTGGTGTCGCTTCTGCCGCCGGAGCCTGTATCAGTGCAGGTGCATAAGAGTACACAGACTGGGAGGATGTAATCCGTCAACTCTGAAGTGAGAAATTGTCGCATCGCAGGTCGACAGTATGCAGGCCGCCTTCAATGCCATCGACGGCGGTGAGCCCGGGTCGGTGTCCAACTCTGAGCTCGACGGCCGCATTGGCACGCGGACACACAGATACGTGAGTATGTGTGTGATTCGATGCATACATTGTGCCTGTAACATCAGCAGCAGGGCTCACATTTTGGTCTTGCTCTGGAGTTGTGCTGTGCAGCTGAATCGAGTCCATCTCTGCCGGGTCCAAACGGGGCAAGCCGTTGTGTCAAATTCTCAAAACGTTTTCACCGAGAAGGTCTCAAAAAGCCTCGAATCACAGGTTAACACTTCGGGAGCTCGAGATGGGCCTGAAGTCCATGGGCTGTGACTCGGGCCTTTCTCAGAGCCTCTCGGGTTCCAGGCCTTCCGGGCTTCGGATCTTGAATGACCAGGGTCCGGATTCTCGGTTTTGAGGGTAGTTGAGAGGCTGAGACGTAAAGACTGGGAGCATTTACGCAAGTCTGGCTTCTCTCCCAAAACCCGAGCCTGCGATATTCTAGCATGTGAAAGATGAACAGTGTTGACGTCCTCTTGACTTAGTGTTCCCGAAAATGTTCGCACGAGGCTTACACGGAACAGCCTTGAGCGCACCTTCCTGAATCCACTGAGGCCAGAAATTTGCCGGACCGGACGAGTCTGCACCTTGCCCGCCAGAAGATGGGCATGATGAAAGCACCGCTTTTGTCTTGATATCTGGACATGAACTGCGGCCTAGGCTGTCCCTAAGGAGGATTCTTGGAGGGTTTGAGTACCAGGTTGATGTGGACAGCACACACCCAACTCCACTTCGTCCAGCGCATCCACCAGAAAAGACCATAATCAGGCCGGTAGCAAGAGAATTCGCGAAGCCAAAACGGTGAAATCCTCCGACAAGGCACGGATAGAGAAAGTCTTCCGCTACCTGGATCCTGGTGGTGAGGGAACCGTTTCCATGCAGGCGGCGTCATTGCAGGGCTCCTGCACTTTTTGGAAGAATACCTTGCCGGACATGGTGTCATCGCGACGTTTTGTCACGGTGTGTTGTGGAGGAACTGATTGGGGAAGTGTGTCAGCTCTCGACTCGATGCAGGCTGTCCGCGGATTCAACGCCATCAAACCTAGCAATCCTGCCGTGAGTTTATCCACAACATTTCTGACCTCCGTTTCATCTGGCAGATCTCACCGAGTTTCTGAACAACTGACGCATGCCAGGATGCCTTGTCCTGGCTGCAACCCATCCCGCAACAAAATTAAATCCTGCAACAGGAGTGGATGGTGCTCGATCAGCTCTGGAGGGAGTTTGCCTCCTGTCAGCAAGTGTGTAGTTCGGCTCGGTTTGCTGCTTTCGGTCTGATGTTCTGCAGAAGTCAGGAAGTGCTGGCTGTTCCTCAATCCTAACCCCGACACCTCGGACACCGGGCAAGTTTCTCGGGTCTGTTCAGAGCATCTCCTGTCGCCCAGTGAGACCTTGTTGGGCTGCGTCTCCTCTCGGACATGATCCCGTGAAAGAGTTGAGATGCATGTAGCACGCCAGCTTCGTATGGTGCCCCTTCAAGAACGGAATACAATGGATCTCAGCGTTCGGATCGGTTAGAGGTCGTGGTCTCTTGAAGTTCGGGGTAGCTCAGGATCTAACGATCCGCGAGTTCGTCCAATTCCTCCAGTACGCGTTCGGAGAGAACCTGCAGGTCTTTGATGTAGAATCCCTGCTGCGAGCTAGCTCTGTCTCATTCAGCTAGTCAGACAGTCAGTCAGGTACCTAGCTAGCTAGGTACTTATGTGCTAGTGCTAGTGAGTCGGTGAGTTCGTCAGTCAGTCAGTCGATCCCTTGTTCGCGTGTTCGACCGTTCTTTGTTGCCTTCGTTAGTAAAGAGAAGCATGGTCCGGATACAGCTAGATGGACAGGCAGGCAGGTAGATAGATAGATACTTAGGTATAGACATAGACAATCAGACAGAAGGATAGACGGATACAGGGAATCGGTAGGGAGATAGATAGAAAGATAAGTAGACAGATAGGTACAGATAGATATAATCGGTAGGTAGATATAGATGCTACCATATAGATATAGAAATGAATGCTAGCCCCCGAAGAACTCGCGGTGCAGCGACATCGCCACCAATACTCCTACATTTATGCTTCTGGTGTTTGATCCAGGCTTAGCATTAAGTTTTGAAGTTCCGAGGGAGAGCATATGTATATCGGCAGCCGCCTTCATTCTCAATTCCTTGCGACCCTTCACGCAGGTATTCCGAGAGATGATCTTTCCAGTCGTTTCTGTCTGAATACCCGAAGCTCAATCTTAGGCCGAGTATTAACTCCCAAGATAGCCTTCACTGTAGTCCCACATCGAAGCCCCAGCAATACGTATGAGTGAACGTGAGCCTTGACTGACTCCTGTTCCTAAACAAAGGTATTCTCAAGACTAACCCTGCCGCTAGCTGTTACAGACATTGGCCCCAATTGTGACAATAGTACTTTGTTTCATGTTCACCCTAAAGAGATGCCTTCTAGATCAAGGTCTTAGTTGTGTGGATCAAAAAGCTATGCCGGCTAGTAACCCCATTCTACATCGCCATATTATCTCCCATATCGACTTGAAGGAGAAAAAGCATACGTCAGCCTGCTTGGCCCCCCGATAGTACGGATATTGCAGCCCCGCTGGCAACCCTAATTGTGGATCTGACTCCAAGATGTATCTTACTATCAAAGCCAATATCGCTAATCTGTTGTTCCCATTGTTAACCTTCGCATTGTATCGGATACTTCCCTCAACAGCAACCCAAATAATGGCCCGACCATTGGCCTTACCAACAGGATAATTAATCCAGATGTTCGCTGTGGTATCCTAGCATGAGCAGTGAAGTCCACGAAGCTAAAAGTCATGGCGCCCAAAATACTACTTACGGTTATTCTTTTTCAGGTAAGTTAAATACGGCCCCAACCGTTACCTCAACGGTAGCCTTCATATTCATGCTAATATTAAACTACACAACGACTTCCATTGAGAACCACGGTCCTTCATGTCTTCGCTGTAGCGTTGCCCAAACGGAGGCCCTTCCTAGAAATTGCGGGATGATAAAAGCATTTGTTTGTTTACCTCAACACTGTGTTTATAGCGCCCCCTTCTCACTGTAGTATATGATTATGTCGGACTTGTATGCGTATATGTACATGTGTGATCATTTATTATGTATGTGTGTGTATATGTACGCACACACACCCTAAGCATTAATTAAGGTCAAATCTGTAATAGATATCGACATACTGACGAGGATCGTTAGCTGACTCCTGATTCCAAGCAGCATCATCCCCATCCCTATCCTTGTCATTCGCCCTTATGTCAACCTTGAAGTTAATATTCGCCCCGACAGCTAAGGCCATCCATAGTAGCCTTAGTACCACCCATAATCTGACCCCCGATGTTTCTCTCATTTAGTTTTCAACCTTAGTCAGAGAAATCGTAGTGGAAGGGTGATAACCCTGATGTCCTGGGTCCTGTTCTGTGTTAAACCTTCAACAGTAGCTCTCTATTGACCCCAAAACTGATCGGAATAATGTCCTGGTTATTACCCAGTATGTTGTATAGCATGAACGCTGAGCAGAACCGAATCCCAAAGTAAGGACAATCGAACCTTATTGGCAACATTCATTCGTAAAACACACAAACACCACATGAAATACACAATCTTGCTGGGAAAAACTTGGTCTTGGAGTGAAATACCAATGTTTTCGTAGGAGAAACGTTGGTTTTGCACCGAAAATCCAACTTTTACTAGGAAGAATATTGGTTTGGACCGGAAAATCACTTGTCTTAGGAAAGAACTGTATGTTTTGAACTTTGGCCGCATCGTTTCCCACAGGACATATTTTTTGTGGTTTCCATGTGTCAAAAATTTGGTTTTGCGGTCCAAGACCCATTTTTTCGGGGAAAAGTGGGCACACCGAAACCAATTTTTCCTAGGAAAGCAAAAACATCTTTTGAGAGTTAGGGGCAATGATACACAACAACCGGAAGACATAAAATAACAGCAACATCTCTTAATAAGCGCGTTGGCCTATTTACAGCGCTTGCTGACTGGAATTGCTCCTAACTTATAGTCAGCGCTTCGTATATTTATGATCATCAGTTGCTGCGTGATATTGCCCCTATCCTGTTCACAACACTGAAAATGAGGTCTTGCTTCTGTCTTCTGCACAGCTGTTGCCGTGCGGCATTGCCCCCAATCCTGTTTACAACGAGCGCTGCTTGGTTGTGCTTCCATTTTTGTTCAGAGGTTGCTGTATATGGCATGGGCCTGATCCTATTTGCTGGTTTCGCTTGAATCTCATATTTAGCGGTTGCTATATGGCATGGTCTCTTGCTTACATCTGTTGCTATGTGATTTCTGATCCTATTTGCAGGTTTTGCTTGAATCTCATATTTAGCGGTTGCTATGTGGCATGGTATCTTGCTTACATCTGTTGCCATGTGATTTGCTTTTATCTTATATGCAGCGGTCGCACTGGGTCATTGCTTCGATCTTATGCATGATGCAGGGTCTTGCTTCTATTTTATATACAGCGGTTGCTGCGTGGCCTTGCCCCTATTGTGGTTGGACGCTAGTTTGTTACAGCAATGCCGCGCAGCAGTCACTATACATGTAAACATGAAGCCATCCAGCAAGTACTGTAAACACGATAGGGGCAGGAGACACAGAATCCGCACCTGCCGGAAAAGCTGGTTTGACACGGTATTTACTATACAAAACGAGGGTCTGTAGTTCTGTAGTTCGTGGGGTGGGGGGGGGGGGGGGGGGGGGGCGGGGGGGGGGGTAACATATAGATATAGGTATAATATCGGTATAGGTTTAGAGATGCAGATATAGATTTCGACACATACAGATCATAGAGGCGGTAGAGAGATAGACAGATACACATATAGGCTTACGGGTGGATAGGCAGATAGATACGTAGGTATGTATAGGTATCAATATATGGAGATCGATAGAGCACCCTAAAGTCGATGTGCCGAATCACCGAAGCCTAAGTCCCAAACCCTCAGCCGAAGCTACTGGTAGATAGGTAGACACACAGATGAATTGATAGATAGCTGGATAGGCGGGTGGGTAGTTGGTGTGTGGGTGGGTTTGCGGGTGGATAGAACTGCGCAGCATCGAAATACCATGTGTTGTAGTTATTCGCGATGTCATACTTGTAGATGTAGAACGTACTGTTGGTCCGAGCGGTATGTTGTTTACGATGGAACGGCTCAGGAGAGCCTCACGCTCATTCAACAGTCAGCAGCAGCACATCATGAGCAACCTTCGCCAACGCAAGATCTGCAACATAGCATAGATCTAACCAGCCTCGTTTATTTTTGCGGTTCTGTGAGACATGGCGGCTTCCGCTCAGCTAGTCCGGAACAGACAACGAGCCTGGCACATGTTTTTGTTTGTTTTTCTGCCATCTGCATCGGAAGCAGTCGCCACACCAAGACTCGCCACACCAAGACTCCCTCGCTAAATTCATAAAGCACTGAATTCGCTCAAGTTCTGGAGGATGCATGGGAAGCATTGGATGACGACGGCAGTGGCGAGCTGACGGAGCAAGAGTTCGATGAGGCCTCAACGCATTGGGTCTTGTCAGCCAGGCTTTTCATAATACTAGCAGCGTCAGGTCTCTTGCAAAAAGGGTTGTGAATGCCAGACAGGCATAGCCTCTGAGTATCTGCGGCACCTACAAAAGCTAGGCGCAATAGCAAGAGCCACGCACTACTGGCATTTCGCGAGGCGCTACAAGTCATGTCTTGCACAAGCATTCTTGTTAGGCCTCTCGAAATACCTGTGCAGACAAGCATAATCCTATTTCCAGGCTCTGAAGAAGAAAGGCTACTTCGGGCCGGTGCGCGTTGTCTTCGCGTTCCTCGGCCATGAAGTTCTGGGCCGTTGTTTGGAAGTTCCACTTCCAGGAGAAGGCTTGAAGTCCTAAGGCCAGTAACAGGGCAGGGCAACTACACGTCAGGAGATGCACCTGGGACACTCCCGATACTTCGGTTTCACTCAGGGTGGGGGGGGACAATGTGGTCGCCTGAGGCAGCAAACTTTCGGGGTTCCTCATTTCCACTGAACACTTTCGGAGTCTTTGCCGTCCATCACCTAACCATTAATCCTCTTTACGCCTCTGAGTCTGGGCACCAAGCTTGTCCCTCGCGCTCCTGCACACACGCGCGCGGGCTCCATCCAAGCATGTGCACATGCATCATAGATTTACACTGGCTTGCCTTCATGATTTTGCTGGTGTATGCACTTGCGGCAGGATGCTTCAGGAATAGCTGCAACAACTATCTATGCCATTCTACATCTTGTCATGCACACGATGGCTGTTGACATTATCCACTGCAGGCTGCTGGACAACACGGATGACGGGAACATTTCCTTCGACGAGCGACTAGGCACTGCATCAATGGTGCTTCCCTTCTCTCCTGCAGCGCTGGATGACCTGGAAACTTGTATTCAACAGTTCTCTCTCACCAAGGTTCATCGTCCTTGAAGACTACAAGCCTTGAGCCGATGAGTTGAGAAGCAAAGAGGAACAGGAGACAGCCGCTTGAATTTGGCACAGCGCTGCCTTCGTGATTTTGGCTGTGGAGCCCAGGCTCGCGAGGACTGTCCCTGACCTTGGCCTGATTACCCACGGGCTTGTCGAATTGTAGAAGTATGCTCACCAGCACTCCGAATGGAGTGCTGGAGACCAGAACCAGTCTAAACCGAAGAGCCAATGCATTGGGATGCCCTGCTTTGTAAGTTCTCGCTGTCGTTGCTGCATCTTCGCAGTCTCGGATTGGCATAGAACCCATTGCTCGGGCATCGGATAACGCACTGCTCATCGATCTTTTAAAAAGTCTCGGTGCGGGAGGCGATCGAGCTCGGCCATGCTTGCAAGCTAAAGGCGATGTGCCGAATCACCTAAGCCTAAACCCCAAACCCTCATGCCCGTAATGTCCAGAGATGTGTGCTGAGTAGCTGTCTGTGCACGACTCAAGCTGCAAATGCTTATGACCGGCTTCGCCAGCTCGCTGTCCTCCCGAATGTGTGTTGCTCTCAGTAGCTGTCAGCCTTAGGCACAGCACGGCAGAGAAAAATGCGACGTAGTTTGTGATTTAGGGTACCGTGAAGGGAGGGTCTGGGCTGACCCCGTTTGGAGGTCACCGTTGCTGAGCCCGGAATACATGCGGCTTACAAGAATGGTTGCTCTTGAAAGCCTCCGCCACTGTGAGGTCGAGACTCATGTGATGGGATAGTTGGCCGCTACGAAGAGTCCCCACAATCAAAAAAAATGAAATGCAAGATAAGATCACTCCTGGGCCGGCGTGAGAACTGTGCAGGCAGAGGCCCAGAAGTTGCAGCAGGAGCAGAAAGCGATAGAGAGCGCAGAAGAAGAGTTTGGAGGGCAGAGAGTCTGCCTTGAACACGGGTGCACCGCCTCGGCGAGGAGATGGAGACCTGCGAGGGCCTCGCCTCCAGCGCTGTGGAGCAGAAGACGCGGATGGGGCGCGCGGCGCAGCTTCCGATTCCGGGGCCTTTCGGGTGGTGTGCATGGGGCCTTTAAGGGTGGCTTAGGGCTTAGGTGGCTTAGGCTTTCAAACGGTTTCAAGGATTCTCAGGGCTTCGGGCCTAGGTCATGCAAGCGCAAGATTCGTCGGTGTCTGCGACTCCAAGAGTGTGCGGCGTGTCGATGCAGCCTTCTGGGGCATCATTTGTTGTGCTTTGTTCGGAGTTTCAGAATAGGCTTTAAACATTTCCGTGCGACTGTGCAGGGCATGGGGAAGAGGTATGATGGCAAGCAAGCGTCGAGCCCATGCACATCTGACTGTATGATACATGGGTCTCCAGGTGCTTTGCTAAGTCTCTGGGGGTTGCTTTTGATCGCTCAGCTTCCTCACTCGGCTTCAACCCTGACCGACCATCGGCTTCCCGTCATCCTTGTGCAGGCTCATGAGCCAAGGCCTTCGTCATGCTGGCACCTAAGATTTCGAACTGTTTCCAGCCTCTCAGAACTTGTTGGCCCCTGCTACGAGCCGATCATGTTTTAGACTTGCCACAGTTACCAGGGCCTCGTCACCAGTAGTTCGCACGAATTTCTCTCGTCTTTGCTGCCCGAGGATCGCATTAGATGGGGTTGGAGCTTGCAGGACGGGCTGGTGTCACTGAATTTCCTCCACAGGGTGTTGGTACTTCAATGACATCGAGGGTCCTGCTCTGCAAGCTGATCATCAAAAGTGTTGTGGTTTGGTGTCAGTCTGCTTTGCAGAAAAGCTGACGCTGTTTCCCCGAGCCGCATTGGGGGATTGTGAACCCATCCGCTTTATGGTGGAACCGGTCCAGGGCAAAGAGCCAGCATCTCTCTTTGCCGTTCCACTACAGTTGTCGAAGTGGTCTCAGTTTCCGCGCCGGGCTTTTGATGATAAGTACTTCTACTGTGGTCGTCATCCTGAGGTGAGCTGTTTCGCTTGCGACCAGCCTGGTAATAAGTTTGCCAAAGCATTGTTAGTATTTTCATGGCCCCCTCAATCTCGTTGTTACATGCCAGTATCGTTGTTGCACTTCCTGCTCGTGGTACGCAAGATACCAGATGCAAGATGCCAGAATATGCCAGATGTTTCGGGTACAAGGCAAGTAAATTGAACCCCCCACCTTGGGCCTGCGCGCGGCAGCAGCGCAAAGCCCAACAACAGACGGAGAACAAGCACTTGTAAAAGAGAAGATGTACCTTGCATCAAGAAGCATGCATCCTGGTTTGCTTTAGAATTGATTCCTCAAGCCCAGCTTCAGGAGCTCTCCCGGCAGCTCGCTGCCCTGCCCGGCGACACGCTCCTAACTTCGGCTGCGGCCCTCTTTGCCGGACCATTGGGTGCGGAGCTCAGCACAGGCTTACCGCGAGAGATTTTCAGTAGCGCAAAGTCGCCTGCAGACCATCGCACAGAACATCCCTAGAGTGTCCCCACCCTCCCACAGTTTCCCACGGAGTGTTCTTGGAGTGTTGATCCCAAGAGTGAGGACCCCTCAGAGCATCCCCAAAGTGCCCTGTGGAGGATATTGTGCCCGGAATGCCCGCCCCAAATACTTCTGTTAGGTCGGGGACGTTCGAGAACGAAATCCATGAGGGCTTGTGAGGTTTCGGAATTGAGGGTCGCGGGGGGTCCAAAGCTTAGGATTTTGGAGAGGCCGAGGGGTTGTCATAATTACTCACACTCTTTGGTCCTATGATATGCATGCAATGCTTGCATTCCTCCGTGCGCCACCCGAATGAAGCAAGAAAGCTAATTCTCGGAATGGAAACATCTCATGTCCACGCGATTCTCATAGCTGTACACGGAGAGGGTAGCTCATCAAGGAAATTAATCTGCTCCAGTGGTTGCAAGTCGACTTGCTTCAAGTGCTGTCGAATCCTGTGGTGCGGGGTGCCTGTGGTCAAGCGCATGGAAGTTTGAGTTTGTTCTTGGGCCCCCTCACATCCGCATGCAAGAGTGCTGCATGGTCATTTCCTCGGCAACTCGTTTCGGATCCTGAATACGGGGTGTTACGCAATATGCAATGCTTGGCGAAACTAGACTACGGCTGTTTTTGCTGGCCTCGCCCGGCAGGGTCATGCTCTTGATATCCACAGGTTTGCGTGGGTGTTTACGTGTCCGGAAGTTGAGCTGCACTTCTGATGTTTCCATGCACACCCGCAGTTCGGTTGTTCCACAGTGCTGCAGATCTTCGTGCCGGATCGCTGTAGGCAGTGTAGACACTAGTCCGGTTACAGATTCTGCTAATGATGGTGTGCGCGCTCCTCGGCGTAGCCAAGGCCCCATGCATCGCGAGGAGCTCATGGCCCACTGGAAGGCCACGAATGGGCCGCGCATGTTCACGATCGAATGCTAGATTCTAGATAGATTGCGGTTTAGAAAGGCTACCGACGAATTTGTAGACGTACTGATTCATGTTGCGCAGCTACGGGGCAGCCTCTGTTGTCTTGCAAATGCAAGGGTGCTCGCACCCAGACGCAGATCAATCAATCATACACCAGTGTATCTATGGGTATACCTGTTTATAGAGAGAGAGAGAGTGAGAGAGAGAGAGAGAGAGAGAGAGAGAGAGAGCGAGCGAGCGAGCGAGCGAGCGAGAGATAGTTGTTTATATATATATATATATATGTAGACATACATACATACACGTGCATTTCTGATGAGGTTGGCACTGCAGCAATCTCTCGCGACAGGCCATCCTGGACAAGCTCTCCATACCCCACAGCAAGGACCCTCGATTTCCTGCTATTTCCGTGCAATTGCTCCCCATGTTAGGAGTCCCTCTGCCGGTGCCTGTTTCTGGGACAAGCAGGTGCTTGCAGCTTTTGCTGGCACGCTTCGTGCCGCATCCTTCTGTGTTGAATATTGAACAAGAGTGTCAGCAAGCTCACTCAGAAATGCCACTTCGGAAGCCAATCATGGTAGAATTCCGCTAATCCCGGTCAGGTCCAGACATTCTTGTCACGTCTGAGTCAAGCCCGTCTTAGTCTTCTGAAGTTCCTGCGAAAACACACGCCAAAAGCGGGAAGCCTGTTATCGATATGACACTGCAGGAGCTTGACCTGCCGAGATACTGGATCCCGGCAACGGCACGCTGCCGGTGGCATGCTGACCTCGAGCTGCCAAAGGTCACCTGGAATGTACGAATCGTTTACATGAGTGTCAGACCGAGCACCGCCATCGTTGCTGCTACCGCTACTGCTGCTGCCTTTCCTGCTGCTGCTACTGCTCCTGCCACTATTTGCCACCCCTGCTGCTGCTACTACTGCTGCCACCTACCGACAGTGTCGTTTTGGTTGTCACCTTGGTGGTGGTTGTAATCAGGGGGATGTCGACGATGGTGATTACTATCATCGTCATTGCCATGACGGTGACATGGACGACGACGACCACGAGAGCACAGCACCGACGCCGACGTGTACGGCGATGCCGAAACCGACGGTGACAACGAATCTTACAGATGCTGACAGTTTTGCAGTGACGATGACCCTTGTTGCACAACCAAGTGTTCATGATGACGGTTCTGGTCGTGCGGTTGCTGCTGGTGCTGGTGACGTGAGTGGTGGGGAGTAAGGCAAGCTGCAACATGCAACTCGCCGTTCTTCAGGCGTTTGGTTGTTTTGTTGCTATTTTAGGCTCTTGTTATGAGTTGCAGGGACTGCCCAAGTCTGCTTCCAGTGCTTGGAGCTGTGTAAAGAGCGCAGTGTTTGCTCGGGCAGATAGGCTGCCCACAGGTATCATCTACGCTGATTCCAAAAAACAGTGCAGCATGTCAAGACTGCACGACCGGGTTCTGCATGTCGGCAGGGCCTTCAGATTCTGAATCTAGGCTTGCTTTGTGATTTCTTGGAGTGAGGACAATCACCTGGAAGAGAGCATTGTGCTGGCGTGCCTGCAGGCTTGCTTGCCCCCAGTGTTGCAGTTTGGCATCTCAGTACATAAGTCTCCTAGAGCTGCTGATGTTGCCATTCATGTTTAGTCGTTGACCTGATGATGCACCTTTCGTTACGTGCCCGATTAAAACATGATCTATCACTTCGAGAGGGGATGGCGGCGCTTGAAGCATGGTTCGGCCGCACGTGCAAGATTTCTGTATATTTGAGAGATTCCGGTACCGTAGACTACTGCCCAGGACCTCAACAGACGCAAGGAGGGATATGCTAAATTGCTAAATCCCCCGAAGGCGCCCCCCTCTCTTGAGTTTGGCCCTTGCGTTAGACTTTCAGAGCCTGGAAGACCACGGCGTGGCCCGTCTTCTACGACCCCGACGCCCTGGCAGTGCCCTTCCTGACCAAGTGCTTTCCAGGCAGAGCCTTCGATTTTGCGAGCTTTGAGCGTATAGTTTGGAAGCGCAAGGCGAACAGTTCAGTCTTGTGTTGCTTGAGATGCTTAAGTGTAGCGCTTACTCTGACTATGAGGTCTCCTGAATTTTGAAAAGGGCATCTCGTCTGTGTTGCATGTATTCCTGACAGGACGTAATGTCAATGTCAAGCTTTCGGGTGCATAGAGTTTTGGGGTCTTAGCGTCGTAGATTCGAGCGTAGAGACCTTATCTGCCGAAGAGGATCCGAAGAAGACGTGGGGACGTGGGGTAGGAGCAGTCTGGGAGGGGTTCCCAAAGTCAGGGCTCGTTGCTATTCAGTCGAGTCTTACACTGCACATTTCGCTCTGCTGCCGCGAGAGACTTCCAAATCGGATACTCTTCCACATTCTTCTTGAAATCACAGGTGAGGGTAGCAGGACCCAAACGAGATCTTACAATCTACCTTGCGTTCTGTGGAACAGCTCTGGACAGGCTCGCATCGGCTCTCCATGGGTTCTGCAGACTTCCAGAAGGACGGGTCAAAGGGGTTAGAAGCAATGCTGTCGTTTGCTTCCTCGTGTACTCGGTACTCTGTATACCTGTCAGACCCTGCACATCATTTTTCCGGGCCCAAAGGCCGCTCATGTCGAGGAAGTTTGCGCAGGTCGTTGACCAAAGGTGTTTGATGCAATCGTTTCCTGATTGGCCAAATGCAGCGGAGCTGGTAAGCATCCATCGGCCAGTCTTCACGGTTTACAGTCTGACTGGGTGAGAGCCTCCTTAGAGTCAATCCCACATGCTGTTGCCGTGCCCTTCGCATCCACGCAGTCCCGGTCTTTGTAGGAGATGCTTTCGGCCCTCCAGCGCAGCGCGGGCACGGGAGGCCGTTACAATGCGTGGGACTTCAGACCTCATTTAGGGAGCGTTGTAAACACCATGCAGCTTCTCTCCTGTCGCGGCACGTCCTTGCAGAAGTGGTATCACAACCCGTGACTGCTCATATCTATACGGCACGAACATGGAGCTGAAAAGCCGCTACAGGCTTCAAAACTCCTTTTTGGAAGCGGTGCATTCAAGGGCCCAAGCTGTTCTCCATTTGCGGACAGATGCTCAGGGCTTCTGGTGTTCAGAAGGACGGCTTCGTGCCAGAAGCAGGTTTCTTTCTCCCTCAAGACAGGAGATGCTGACGATGTGGCTGCTCATGCACTTGCCTCAGCCAAGCCGCACACTTGCGGAATCCTGAAAATTTCACTCCAAAGCATGTCATGCTTCTGAGTTCATCCAAGTTTCAATGCGATCACCGCTCCCAAAACCCAGGAATTTCTTTTTTCCCAAGCTGAGCCAGCTTGGGCTTTTCGCACAATGCCGAGGTGCTGATCATCGAGAATGCTTTCCTGCCCGCAATCCGCGAAATGGACCTTCTCAATGAATTGATGCCCGTCTGCATCCGCACATACTGAATGTTGCATAGTGAGTGAGCGAGCGAGCGAACAGGGAGAGAGAGGGAGAGAGAGACAGAGACAGAGAGCGAGCATGATCTGAAGTTTTGAAGCATGTTTCATGTTGACTTGGCCATGTGGCCCCTGGGACCCACGGACCTTGTGCATCACTCGCAACACAGCGCGTCGTGTTGAAGCAAACTACAAGGCTGAGTCGCCGCCAGCTACGGGCCGCAGGGCTTCTCTCAAAAGGTGCCTGAGAGTGCGAGGGTTTTCCTTGGCTTTGCCTTGGGGTTCCGGGTCTGCGATGATGCCTTGACCTTCGCACTTAGAGCCCTCGCGCAGTCCATCTGGAATGCTGCGAGCCTTTGCGCTTGCATGTTGGTTTGGGCCTGGTTCTGCAAACGGTGTGCATGTTCTGCACTGCGCTGCAAAAGGCCACCGGTCGAAGATTCTCAGCTAGACATTGCCCGAGAAGACTTGCCCAAGTTTTTTTCAACACGCCTGAAAGTCATTGATTGAAAGATCACAGGGCAGGCCAATGCCGGACCTGATCTATTGCAGCACATGTAAGACGTGTGCGCATTTGCCACATCCAGACAGCACCTTCGTTTAAGGTCTGCCATAGACGCCGTAGTCTTTAACTACTTCCAGCTGAAGAAGCCCTTCACCCCCATTCGCAGCACTACGACCGAGGGAAGGACTTGCACTCAAGCCGACAATCACTTATTCGCAATTGAAGCATTCCCCTGCACGATCTTCTGTCAGCACATGCGAAACCTATACATGTCGTCGGCCTCGTTAAGAAATCCTTGTGCACGGCAAAAGGATCCCGTGTTCAGGCGTCCCACAGTGTCATTTCTCTATGCTGATACAACATATTACATACTACTCTGTCGCAGTGATACATCCAGCACTTCAACCAAAAAAGCACATGCTCAACATGCTTCTGCTATTGTCTTCGACACGACCTGTTCCGGCAAAGAGTACTCGATGATGACCAGAGCACTCAAGTCTCAGGCGCATCTATTGCCCTGACACAGACGGGCGTTGAGGATGCTGCGGTGAGCTGTACGCATCGATGGGGTTGGGGCTAGGGCATTTACCGTGATTAGATTGAGAATCTGCAGAGGGCAACATCATGCCTCACATAGTGTGCCTCTATCTCCTGGATCAGTTTGCTGAACTGTGCGCATTTTCCGAAAGATTGCTCTGATGTGTTGAAGTTCTTAATCTTTACAGCACAGGAAAGACGCCCAAGGACTGAAGCCTTTGAGGAGGAGACTTTGATTGTACGTAGCCGGGGAAATATCAAATTAAGCTTGGGGCAAATGTTTTTTTCGGGAGCGGCCTTCTTGCGACTGTTGCTCAGTTACTTGCCGATCAGTATGATCGCACAGATGGACGTGTTGCCTCTGTCTCTAGCTTTCTCGTTGTTCTGAAAACACAACGACTGCCGTTCCTCACTCGGGTCGTGTGCTTCACCGAGGTTGCTGTAGACCCAACGACAGCCGCTCTGACTGCAGATCTAGTGGATGCATGTGGCACAGAATTTATGCCTGGGGTTGCGCCGTCCCGGTTTCTGGCAGGGCGGCTGAGGCCTCTAGTTTTGGGCATGGTCAGTCGGATAGCAGAGCCTGGAGCATCGGTAGCATCGGCGATCGGTGCTGAAGGGACCCCAATTCCTTTGCCCAAGGCTAGCGAATCCTCGTGCTCGAATGCCCCATACCACCTGTCTTGAGATTATCATCTTCGTCACGCAAATGGCCGAACCGCTCGGCCGAGATCTCCTGAGCAATTCGGCAGAAAGTGTCCAGCAGAGGGTCACTGAACCGTTCGTTCTTGAGGGAGTGATAGACATTAGGGCTTGTCGAGTATTGCGTGCTGTCGTGGTCCATGTTGTGAGAGGCCAAATGCCGCAGAAGGAGCTTGGTAGACTTGCTTGGAAAGCGCGGCTAACGAGTTTAGAGCAGCAAGTAGCGCGCTGAATCCTAAATTATTTCTGAGTTTAGGCCTTTGAGCTTGAGGCCGGTGTTGCGAGCAAGCGCAAACACTGGCTTAAAAAATCTCCTACCCATCCTGCTTTGCACAGCGAACCTTTCTGAGATTGGCACCTTACCCTTCAATGTCGGACACCAGCTTCCACACTGCAACCCCGACTCCTGTGGGCGAAATGAAGGCACGGACTTTGCCATTTTTGACTTCCGGCTTCTTGGCGATATGTGAAGCTCCGGGTCCCTGGTAGCTAAGACCTCAAATGCATCCTCTGCTTGCTTGCCGCAAGCTCGGAGCTCTTCAGCGCCAGTCTGAATGTTTATCGAGTTTCAATCGAAGCATACTTTATGAGCGAAAATCGAAATCTGTGTTAGTTGCATATTGCACAACTTGGCGGGCCTTCGCACCGAACCCTGAACGGAAACCTCAAGCTATTTAGCCATTGAAGTTCAGGCCTGTCCCCATGAATTTGTACCCCTGGCTAGGTGAAGAAACGGGTCAGCTGTCAGTAGAGCGACAAAACCGGACACAAACAGCTGCAGCCATGCAAGTGCTGGGAGTGTTCACTCGCATCTAGGCCCCTGCGAGTTCCGGCGTGTCGTGCTCCTTGAAGACGCGTTCGCAAAACAACCTGCTTCTTCACAGATGTGTATCAGAGCACGTTGAACTTCACGACTCCGTGCAAGAGAGGTGTTAATGTGTGCGGTCAGGCTGCGGGGAGGTATCTGCAGGATGTATTGTTGGAGCGGTCGTGAAAGCTGCACGTGCCGAGCAGTTCTCCCAGAAACCCTTCTGTTCTGCGAGGCTCAGCCGAGAACCTCAATGCCAGGGTCCACTTCTGGACCAAAAGGGGGGATGGATTCTTGTAGACCGCGGATTGTGGCTGGCTTGCAGGGAGTTTCAGATTGGAAGGTTGCACAAACCGTCCCTGATCGATGACGATGTTGACATAGATGCTCATCGGCGAAGTTGCTCCAAGGCTTTCATGGCAAGTCCGCAGCATCAGGCTGTGCAGAGACCAGCTTCCTGAACGTGAACCGACAGCACACAGAAATCAGAAGAAATCCATGCAGGGGAACTTGGTGGAGAACTGCGCGTTGAACTTACGTCCTAAGTGAGCCTGTTGCCGTGCACTCTGAACATCCCAACATCCCGCCGCCGGGAGCCAATTCGCTTCCTCGCGAAGGACATGCTCTCCTCTGCTGTCTGCGAGAAGGCGCTTCCCAGCCTACACCAGGCCTCGAGCCTCGAGCAGTGCAAAGACGTGTGCAGTGGCCCCGTCATGAGGAGCTGAAGCATGGATTAAAATTTGTTCGAACGTGTGCCAACGAAGGTCTTCCAGGTTGTGAAGCCCATGCCTCTTCAAAAAAACAAAGAAGCTTGATTGCGAACATTTGCCACTCCTGTCAGGAACTAAAACAGATCCTCGCCTGCAACCCGAGACTTGAGCAGGTTGAGGATGCAGATGTTGTGGTTGTAAGTTGTCATTGGGTTGCAAGGAGTTTCTTAAGAGCTTTTCCAAAATCACTGGCCTGCCTGATAGGGTCCCGTAAATCTTTGCTGGTTCCGATGCATTCGTTCTAGGTACCTTCCAAGCAGTACGTTGGGCCAAGCAGCAAACTCTTAAGACCGCTGCGGGGCCACCGCGCAGGTTTCAGCTCTTTTCGTCATAGCAGCAACAGCAGTAGCTACTCAGTAGCAGTGGTGGTGTAGTACCTGTAGTACTCGTCGTGCTGCTAATCAGGGTCGTAGTAGAGAGGCTGTAGTGGTCGCAGTAGTGCTAGTGATGTGTTACCGTAGCAAGCTTGCACAACGTCTGTTAATCTCACCAGGCTCTAAGTCACCCACCCACCCCCGACAGCGGCCTTGAGCGCTCAATAGCCTCCTGCACGAGTCGTCAGGCTCGGGTGCGAATTCGCTCCCTTGATCGACGAATGGCAGCGCCTTGACGTGGACCTCGCCGGGAGGCTGGTTGCATTGTTGTTCGTACAAGTACAAGCGTCGATTATGCTGCGATTGGCTAGTGCTGTCTCATTTTGACAGTCTTGTTCTTGGTGTGCATGGTTTCAGTTTGTTGAACTGCTATCACTCCACTCTTGGAGTTGACCCGTTTCCTCAACTCTTCCCTCGACTGCTCCTGGTTTTGTCGTTTCTAGGGGTTCCAGGACCTAGGGTTGCTCGGGTAGTTTGCTTACACCTTGCAGTTTGTCGCCCGGCATCCATGTCATCAAGAACAAATCCAGCAACAATGACGCTCTGACCAGCTGAGGCCATGCAAAAACTCGTAGCAGCCTCCTTACAGCAGCCCTGATAAGCTAAGCAGGCAAGTAGAGAAAACGGCACCGAGTCTTCGGCTTCGCTTCCGTCTGGCACTTCGCACGTCGTTGGAAGGGGTCAAACCAATTCTGCAATGTGGGTTTAGAGACCTACCGTTGGCAGACAAGACAAGGTTTTGTTGCGAAGGTAGACCTGGGGTAGACCTCGGACATGTGAGACGATCCTACATGGTTTCGCATGCCGAGCAACTTTGTTCGCGGTCAGAACATCTCTTCTCTTCGGACCACCGGCAGGCTTTCTGCTCACCTCCATTCTGTTGGAAGCCTAACAGAGGCCGGACATCGAAGAGGTAGCGAAGGGCCGTGCGGGATCCTATTTGCTATTTGGTGTTTGCATTCATGCCGCATAGGTCTGGCAGCTCCAGCTGAGGTTTGACCCTGAACCCTTGCACACTGCAGAAATCTGTCAGGGCAATTATCCTTCGGAGGAGCAGGTCAGAGATGTCATGAACGTGAAGGCGGGAGCAGGAGAGATCCAGAGACCACTTCCTCATCATTCCTGTTCTCGTTGATGAATCTGGTTGTAGTTTTCAACAACTCCGACTGCTGCCGTGCCAAATTTCCGAAGGCACCGGTGTGCGTTCGGCGAATTGGGCGTTATGCGTATGTTTTAGCAGCAGCTTCCCAGGCTCTGCACCTGACTTCGTTGCAAGACCTCTTTGCACCAAGGCCAAGAAAGGCCTTATAGACCCTAATTGCAAGGCCTCCGCACCAGGAAGCAAATGTTCTAAAGCATTGAGCCCTTGCGGCGGCTTATGGCCATTGCAACCCTATGCCCCGAAACCCTCGGCCCTGAATCTTCCTCGATGCCCGAAGAGCCGAATCTCAGATGGCGCTGGAGTCCGTCGGCCGGCGTCTTCTGAAGCATCGCGACTCCGAGGCCAAATCGCTGCCGCCTGGCGGCAAAGGGCCATGGGATGGCGAGCTGACGAGGCTCCAGTGACTTTGAAAGCTCAGGACGCAGTCCTGCGCAGCGCCAGAGCCACAAGTCGCCATAAGTATGACTCTGAGGCCTTGCTCCTGTTGACACAAATCTATCCTTCTTCAATGCCCGATCTCGGGGCCTTCGGAATGCGACTCACAAGACATACCCACCATCTCATGTTTTGCTTTCATCTCTTGGCTTATTCTACATGTGTATAGTTGCTCCATGTTGCTGATGCTAGGTTCTGTTCTGCTGTTAGACACATGCACATACTACAGCTGGGTCGCGGTCAGCCTCTGAGGCAGCAACGCTCGGTCAACGACCACTTGGTGGCTTCCCTGTTTTCTCTAGTCACTGCTGCCGACGAGTTACGCAGCGGCACGAGACTTCCGTGAATATTGTGATTCTGCCATTGGTCCGTCTGTGAATTCAGTAGCTTTTTTTTGCTACTCCAAAGTTAGATGCGTAAGATCATTGTCCAGCGTGGCACTTCTCTCATTGCCTGCTTCACCCCTGGAGTTATCATGTTGACTTTGACGCCCCGCGTCCAGGCTTTTCTCGATATGCCCGAGCTCCAACGTTTCCCTTGCAGGAGAGCATTCAGGTTGCAGCCGGGATGGAGGGATGTCAGATGAACTCCGGAACTGCTGATGATGATCACAGTATCAGTTCCAGCAGGTGCCGGCCATCCGATACTGGTCGCAGCACTTAAGTGACAAACCCATGGTTTCCAGAAACCTTTAAGCTGTGGTCAAGACCTGCTTCAGCTCGCCTGGCAAGCCATTGACTGCGCCGCTCATGACCCGCAACGTCGAGAGTGCAGGATCCGCTCGTTTGGTGGCATCGCTGCTCCCTGAGCTGCCCTCCGCCGAGGGTGCCAAGAAGCCCAAGGGACGTGCCTTGGCTTGATCGTGGTGCTGATGGATATAATGATGGCGGTCTTCGGAACAACAAGTTCTCGATGTTCCTGATCATGGCTTGGTTCTGCCTCGTGTCACTTAACTAGAGTAACTAAAACAGGTTGGCAGTGAAGCCAAGCAAGGAAAGCAAATGTGGGCAACCACCATGCCATTGGCATGCTCGACGAGTCGGACTCGACGAGGGATCTCGAAGCTCGCACTGAACCCCTCCAATTGAACAAACAACACGTCTGTACGCCCATGGTTGCTTGAAAATAGAATCGTCCCCATGGTGAATAAGTTCCATGCACCTGCAAAAACCAAACCTTTAAATTGCTGCCCTCGTGATTGCTGTAACTGGAAGCTCGAGAATGCCATAAATACCGATGAAAGCCATTGCCAAGAGCCACGAAACATGCGACTACGGAGTCGTTGTCATCAGACCCATGGTTGCTTGAACCATAGAATCATCGAATCATCACCATGATGATGGATTGCATGCATCTGCTAAGCCCAAACCCCCCAAATGCTCTACTACATGGACGCCCGAAAACGCCGAAAATACCGATGAAAGCCATTCTCACAGCCTCGAAAACGTGGCGTCAGATAAACAGCCCGCACATACTACTACTACTACTACTACTACTACTACTACTACTACTACTACTACTACTACTACTACTACTACTACTACTACTACTACTACTGCTACTACTACTGCTACTGCTACTGCTACTGCTACTGCTACTGCTACTGCTACTGCTACTGCTACTACTCTACTACTACTACTACTACTACTACTACTGCTACTGCTACTGCTACTGCGACTACTACCACCACTACTACTTACTACTACTACTACTACTACTACTACTACTACTACTACTACTACTACTACTACTACTCCTGCTGCTGCTACTACTACTACTGCTACTGCTACTCCTGCTGTTTTACTACTACCACTACTACCACTACCACTACCACTACCACTACGACTACTACTACTACTACTCCTACTACTACTCCTACTACTCCTACTACTCCTACTGCTACTACTACTACTACTACTACCACACTACTACTCCTAGTACTCCTGCTGCACCACTACCACCACCACCACCACCACCACCACCACACCACGACTAGTACTACTACTACTACTACTACTACTACTGCTACTACTACTACTACTACTACTACTACTACTACTACTAGTGTTAGTACGACTACGACTACTACCACTACTGCTGCTACTACCGCTGCGCTAGGCCTGTATTCCAGCACTACTGTACTATACCACAGCCCGCTAGGGAGCCTATCTCCCTCCAGAGCCCCGGTACGAAACAACCCACACACACCTCCGAAGAGCCCATCTCCCTCTTCAGCCCCAGGACGCACCCCTGAAGCCCATCTGTCCCTGCAGCCCCGGGACTTACCACCTTCACCTGTAACTTTATTCAGAATGCCTGAAAAATTTGCGGTTGGGGCACTAGGCACAGTCCAACATGATGTGGACTGAGCGCAAATCCGTGTTGTATGGCTGGCAGCGAAATGCTGTGGAATTCGGCAAGTTTAGTCCAACGGTCTTTAGTACTGTAGCACCTATAATGGCCCTGGCTGGCCGCAAGTAGGCTCTTGAATTTCGGGACGAGTGACTCACCCTTCCAGATCTTCCAGACGGGAAAGCATGGGTCGCAACAGTCAAGAGCTTGTTGCAACTGGATGGGTCTTGAGTCAGTATCAGGCAGTCTAATCTGGACAGGAACGGAACAAGCAGTAGCTTAAAACAAAATGGCTTAACCCTCGGTTGAGGAGATCACCAGAAGAAGTCCTTGAAGACTCATGACGTCTTTTTGTGAGGCACTGACACCGACTATGCTGCCGCAGCACGCCGCGCTGTCCTGGCCGGACTCTGGGAGCGTGCGCAGCCGGGGCTGCCGCAGCAGCTACTGGGAAGGAAGAAAGCCCTCGGACAATCTGCCAGCCCATTAAGAAGAAACAAGTCAATGAGACGAAGCCACAAGCGGAGCTGGTTCCTCAGCGACCTTGTGATGCTATGGCACAGATGATCCAGTGCGCACCGTGGTAAGAGGGGTATTTGCAAAGCCTCAACATGGCCTCATTATGAATCGATTATTCCTTCCGCCCTGTGCGTTGCAGCCCGAGAAATATTCACGTGACTTTCAGCCTGTACCGAATAGAAGCAATATGTTTTGCTTGCTTCTTAAACAGACTGAAGCTCGATCTTCAAGCACTCTCCTGTTCCATCAAGACGAGGCTCATTCTCCCTGCAGCGCTGCGTCTCGCTACGGCGTCTGCTGTGCCGCAAAGAGGAGCACAATCCCGCTCAGGGATGATATTGGCTGATAGGCTGAAGGCTTTGAAGCTGGGTGCCCGCGCTAACAGGCCATGATATTATGTTGGCTGATAGGCTGAAGGCGTTGAATTTGAGTGCCCGCGCTCATAGGCCATAATATTATATTGTTGGTACGGTAAGTTTCAGTTCAACGGAGACTGCACTCCGTGTGCGGGCATTTGAGGGACCCGCGACCCTTGGTTTGCACAGGACTACAAGAACTGCTTGGCAAGCTGCCCTTGGCCTGAATTGAGAGGGGCTAGCCGTTAGTGACTGGCTGACAGTGAGCTTGGGGGTTTACTCAGCCGTGTGGAGTAAAGACTGTCCCTGTGCGGGACCGATGACTGTTTCGATTAGGTGGCTCACTGGAATGGGAGGGGAATGTGTAACCGTGCGAGTACAGCCCAATACAGCCCACGTCACCTTGATCATCGCATGCAACCAGAGTCCAGAGTGTGCCCGGTCCGCCTGCACCAGACGAAATCACAAGCCTAACTGGCAGCTCGCTTGCGCGCAAGAGTCAGCAAGGTTGTTACAGAGCCCCTCTGCCGAGCCTGCGCTGCTTCGCTTGGACCTGAATGGGGCCTTGCGCCTTTGAGGAATGGCAGGCATGATGCAAACAGCATGGTTAAACTCAGCTTGCCAACCCGATATCTTCAAGCTTCCGGGAACAGGTCAGGGTTTGTGTTTCCATGCCTGCAAACACACGCCCAGACTGAAGCTGTGCCAAGGTGCTCGGCCATCCAGGCAAGGTGAAGATGACCGCTTCGCATCTGCAGTTTTACAGCAACTGCTGTTTTTACATTGCCCTTGTTGGAACCCGCTGTGCAAGAGCAGGACCACATCACCGAACCCGTTGTCATGCAAAGAGATCGAGCATGAAAAGAGCTTTGAGCATGCACAAGACTGCAAAGATGATACTTGTAGAAGTCTTTGAGGCAGTTTTATTGGAAGGGCCTGAACCTTTGCAAGCCCACCGGAAGCCTCCATGATCTGCGGACAGGCCGTACTCAAGGGCAAGCCCCTGCTCGAGGTGCTGTTGCATATGATGTAGCGTTCAAGAAATCGGTGAAAGCCTGGTCCAGTTCGTGAAGTTTTGGGCTTGGGGAGGCCGACAATGTAGGTTTGGGATTCTGGGAGTTCTCTTTGCTCAACACTACATGTCACGTTTGGGGCTGCTTTGTCCTGCCAGGCCCTGCAAGCGCTTCGCCAGGCGGCCCCGCAAGCGCAGGCAAGCGGCAAGCACAGAACATCTTCGGGTTTTAGCTTTCAGGGTAGTTCGCAAACTCCACAGGGTAAGCATCGGGTCGAATCACCAAAGTGGGTCCGTGTTGAGCCGAGGTCTCAAGATAATTTTAACGCTACGCCGCCCGCCTCGGCTCTGTAGTGGCAGGGCGAGGGTCCCGGCTTATTGTATACCTTCTGGTCACCCTAAACCCTAAACCCTAAACCCAAACCCTAAACCCTAAACCCTAAACCCTAAAACCTAAACCAGACAGGCAGTGGATTGACGCAAAAGCCAAAGCGGGGGCGAGGAAGATGAAACGAGGGCGGGGAGAAGAAGTGGGAGGGCGGTGCGAGGGGAGAGGCCAGGAAAGGAGGGAACGAGGGTGGGGAGAAGAAGTGGGAGGGTGGTGCGAGGGGTGAGGCCAGGAAAGGAGGGGAAAGGGAGGGGGGGGGGGGGGGGGGGGGGGGGGGGGGGGGGTGTGAAACACTGAATGTTACACATCCAGGTGCCTGTCTGTTTCACGTATCACTTGCATGTATCCATGCCTGTTGCTCAAGGTTCTAGTGCAGTGGACTACAGCTGTGCGCCTGTAGCAAAAGAGACACCTGAGTGCCTGTGTTCCTGTACGCCTAGCGAGGGGATACACGTCCAGGTTACATCTCAACGTGGTAGCGGAGCTCCCGGGAAACGGGAAGCTTCACACTTGTGGAGGTACCCGTTCGGTACTCTCTACACAGGTGGAGGCAACCGGAATACCCGGTGTGCTTCACTCAGGTGAAGGTGACCGGAGTCTCTCCGGCACACTTCACTCAGGTGAAGATAACCGGAAGAGGTTTCTCCCGGGGCTCGATCCAAGAACAGCGCAATGGCTAGCCACTCTGCGACTATCTTTGAGCATGAAGGAGGAGATGAAGACTACCTCCTCCACGGAAATGAATCTTTCGCGACTAATCATCGTCATCTCAATGAATTACACCGTCTTTCAGCTTTCCAGCAGGTGACCACCAAAGTACCTCCATCTTATGATGGTAGAAGCAGTTGGTTTGCCTATGAAGATGCGATCGATGACTGGTGTGACATTACTGAGCTAGACAATGATAAGCGTGGACCAGCTTTGAGAAATCGGCTAGAAGGTGAAGCAGCAATCCACAAGAGGCTTCTCGACAGAGATCGCCTGAAGGACCCGAACAACGGAGTGAAGTACTTCAAGAGTTTCCTGCGGCCGCTTTTCGTGAAGGGAGCAGCGAATGTTTTTCTCTACCGCTTCCAGCAGTTCATGAACATGCACCGTGGGAACGGAGACATGCTTCGTTGGATTACCAGGTTTCAACTCTCTGTTCAGAGAATGCAAGAAGCGTGGAACGATACCTATCTGCCGATCGAGGACCCGAACAATGCAGAGGTCAGAGCTTTCATAGTAGGACTTCCTCCAGAAGAACAAGAAAACCTTACGCCAGCTCAGGCAATGGAGAGAGCCAACGAACGGCTCAGAGAGCAGCATGCTCGGACCATTCCGATCACGCCCAACCTGGTCGCTTTGATCTTTGTGTCCCTGTCTGATCTGACACAGGATCAGCGTCAGGTGTTGACATCACTGATGGCGCATCGGAACCGAGTCCTGGCTGACTACAACACGGCCGAGCTTCGCGAAGTCTACCTGGAGATCTTCTGTACGACCAAGACTACCGTCGACAATCCACTCCTCGCTCCTTCCGGCCACGGTGGCCGCAAGACTTTCCTTGTGATCGACGAAGGATACTTGAATGATCATGAAGGCTACTGGGTCGAGGACGAGGAAGATGGCACCGAAGGTTTCCTCGAAGCGGATGAGGACGCCTTCTGGGTCTACGACGACGAGAACTATTCATGGTTCCAGCGGCGCTTCCAAGGCCGCAAGATGAGGCGCGGATTCAAGGGCCACCGTAAAGGCAAAGGAAAAGGTGGCAAAGGATCCAAAGGAAGGCGCTTCTTCAAAAGGAAGAAAGGCAGGTCACATCTTGCCGAAGAATCAGAAGCATGGCAAGCAGAAGGACAATGGCAAGATTACCAGTGGAGCGATCAGTCCTGGGATGACTGGTCCTGGTACGAGTCTGAGGAATCCTATGCAGCCAAAGGAAAAGGAAAGAAAGGAAAGAAGGGCAAAGGAAAGAGCAAGTTTGGCAAGGATGGAAAAGATGGAAAGTCCGGAAAAGACGGACAGAGCCAGCTTGCTGATGCTGCCCCGAGCGGCACCACAGCCGCCACAACCTTCTTCGTTGAACATCTCAACACTCCGAACTTTTCTTTCATGGCCACCGAAGAGAAGATCAATGAGATCGAGGAAGCCTTCATCTCTCAGCCCTTGACGCCGACCGCGATGGTGTTGGACCTGGGATGCACGAGAGCAATGGCTTCGAGAGTGGCCGCACAGGACCTCATGGAGTTCTGTGACAAGAACCAGAACTGTGGCATATGGTACACCATTGCTGAGACCACTTCTCAGTTCACCTTTGCCAATTCCGAGTCTACCAAATGCAACCAGAAGTTGGTCATTTGCATGTACGACCGGGACTTTGCAGTTCAATCCACAGAGTTCGACATTGTGGAACAAGGGCATGTTCCCATTCTCATGTCCTTACCTCAGATGCGCAATCTTCGTTTCCAGTTCGAGCTCCATCCGGAAAAGGCCTTGCTCAGCAGCCCTGTGCTGGGAATCAAGGATGTGAGGCTGAAGGTTGCACCCAGCTCACACCTGGTACTTGATCTTCTTGAACTCAGTCAGCTGATGTGGAATGTGCGTTTCAGCAAGCATAAGACGTCGAGCTTCCTCACCTACTTCTCCCACTACGAGTACGGCTTCCATCAGAAGACCGAGGGATGCTGTTCTCATGAACAGGTACCCGACAATCTCGTGTTGGCGACTGATGATGAATGGGTGATCAACGAAGCCGACATGGAAATGATTCGCATCCACAAGAAGATGAGAAGAGTCAAGTACGAACCCAAGGCGGGTTATGTGCCAATTCCGTTGGAGTATCTGGACACCAAGCGCAAGACGATCATGGAGTTCTCCAAGGGAAAGAGCGTTACTCAAGAAGATGACTGGCGTTCTTCTGAGCTTTCTTCAACAAGAACTACTGACTCTTGGAAAGGCAAGACCATTTTCAAGATTCTGCCTGGTGGCATCGAGAGTAGAACCTCGGTGCCAGCCAAGTCCAAGGATCCAACCCGTGGAAAGGTAGGATCTCCAGAGGACATGGTTAGCGCAGGTAAGCCTGAAGACAGCTCGAAGAACACAGGAGCATCCGGAAGCTTTCCTCAGGGAAAGGCACCGGCAAAGAGAAGGATTCGAGCCAAGGGAAGCTTTCCACAGGGAAAGGCACCCGAGGAACCGGCTCCTCCTCCTCTTGCTCCTGAGGATGATCCGGATCTTCAAGAGTACGAACCTTCCGAACCGGGGGATGCAGATTTGCTTCCTCCGAGTCCTCCGAAGGCCCCAGAGCCACAGTCGCTAGAACCTAGGAGGATCGCGCTTCCGTTGCCAGGCCACGAGGTCTCAAGGGCTTCTCCGCAGTATCAGCGCATGTTGGAAAAGCTGAACAATGATGTTGAGCTTTACAAGTTGCATGTGAAGCATTACCACATGAGTCCTGCTCAGTTTCGACGCAGGACCAGCATGCTTGGTCTGCCAGGAGAGATCTATGACAAGTACGACCGCATTGTCAAAGGCTGTCGTGTTTGCAGCACCTCGGTGCCTACGCCTCCGCGAGCCAGAATCGCAGGGTTAAGAGCATCATCCTTCGGTGATCTCATTTTTGTTGATCATGAAGAAATCAAGTTCGGTACTAAAGCCTACTTGGCTTTGGTCATCATTGATGGTGCTTCAAATCTTCTGTGGGCTACGGCTCTTACAAGCCTGGAAGCGCCAGAGACTCTGGGAGCTTTTAGACAATGGACAGAGGAGAACAACTGCGTTCCTAAGGGAATCGTAGGAGATCAAGCATTTTTCACGCCGCAGTTCATGTCTTACTACAAGTTCCATGGCATTACTCCGTATCCATGTGGACCACGGACTCCTTGGCCTAATCGAGCTGAGACCGCAGTGCGTCTTTTCAAGCGCACCTGGGCAATCATGGCCAAGGCCTTAGCTGATGAGGGTTATGCAGAGAAGGTGACTGTTCGTCAAGCAGTCAAGAAGGTGGCTTGGGCAAGAAATTGCCAGCTTACCGTCTCAGGCTATTCTCCTTTGGAGATAGCTACAGGAAGACGGCCACCAGACTTGTTTGATGTCGAGAACAGTTCTCCTGAACAGCTCTCTGCTGAACCTGCCGAGGAGGATCGAACCACTCTGGAACTCCAGAGGATTGCCATGCGGGCTCATCAAGAGGCCAGACAATCACTTGACCTTCGGAAGGACCTTGCACGAAGAGTCATGCCGTCTGATGGTCCTTACTCGAAGGGTGACCGCGTGTTTGTTTGGCATAAGGATGAGTCGAAGAAGAAGTCTGAAGGAACCTGGGTCAGAGGCATAGTTGTGTCACAGGAAGGTGCCATGGTGTTGGTTGAAGTTCATCGTGCCGTTCTTCGGGTTAATCAGTCGAAGGTCAGGCGTGATGGAGATCCGTGGCATGATGTGGCCATTCCTCTGAAGAAAGATGAGGTCCCGAGACGCTCTTCTCAGGAAGAGGCACTCGACCGCATCGGCGACGATATTCTTGATCGTGCCGGTTCTGGGTTCTGCTATGAGCATGAGATCTGTTACCACACTCTCACTTCAGGCAAGAGCGATTTCGTTGAGATCACACCTCGCCTCACCGGGCTTACTGCGTGCACAGTCCATTCTGGACTTGATGCGAGTGAACCTGTGTTGTTTGGTGAATGGAACGCCAAGTCTATCCAATCTTCGATTGAGGCCGCTTGGCGAGTGATCTTGAAGGCAGAGCCTAATCACATTTTTATTCATCCTGTCATTCCTGATGGTTGGACCAGGAAGGCCACCAATGCCTTCTGGCACTTTTGTGCCG